TAAATATGCATGGCTTGCCCAACACACTGCAATATTGCTTGCTCATTAATAAAAGTAAAGCACCAGTACAGGGAAACACTGTTCAAGGTAAAACAACTTTGTCACAAACATCAGACATCGTATAATTCTATTTATATTAAATGTCCAGGACATGAAAATATATAGAAACAGAAGGCAGATTCTTAGTTGTCAACCTGGAGTGAATGGAAGTATGGGGAGCTACTGCTGATGGGACCAGGATTTCTTTATAAAGCAAGAAAGGCATTTCAGATTTGATTTATTCTACATTTTGACTAGGTGGCATGCGTAGTACATAGATTATATTTCAATAGTTATTACTAAGAAAAAGTCAACAGTTGACTAAATTTTTAATATACATATAATTTAAGAAATCAATCTTGCCTGGGGAGTGGTGGGTGGATGGGGTGGGGGGTAGGTTGGAGGTGGAATTACATGTGAAACAAGCCTGTTCCCTAACTTGAATTAATAATAATAATAATAATAATAATAATAATAATAATAATAATAATAAAAAGAGAGAGAAAAAAGATATCAATCTTGCAAGAACACTGATTTGGATTGACTTACACACAATGTTTCTTACCAATTCATTTTGTAGCAAACTGGAAACCATCTACATGCTCACCCAAGGTAAACTGCTCAAGGCAAAAGGCAAAAGTAACAATTCAAACACTAATAACCTTAACAACTAAAGGTGAAAAATGCCTTGTTCATTCTTCACTGAATATTCCTAGGTCACACCTAACATCCACTTTCTCTTCTATCATCAGAGGAGTGATTATTGCTGGGTAAACAAGACAAAACAAAATCACAACAAATAACCCCAAAATCTAATAGCTGAACCAGTGAGATCCACTTTAAGCCAATCCCACTTGCTTTCTTCTAATCTGACCTCATAACAGCTCGTTACTCCTTGGAGCAGTTAATTCATACCTTTTTTCTTCATTTTTGTACATTTCCCTATGTTCACACACTCAATAAACTTTCTTTTCTTGAGTTTCCTAAGTTTAATGAAGCCTGTTTCTTTTTCTCCACTGCTTGTCATTTCTTTAAAAGAACATGCATCTCTCCCGACTACTTCACACCCATACTCCTGTTTCCTGCTGCTCCCATTAAAAGTGGCTGTTTTCCCTTGTGTACAGCAGAAGCAACCTTTAATGATTACAACAAACACCATGTAACCATCAAAGGCCTCACTTCTATCCAGCTCACCAGCAAAATCCTAGCCCACACACCTGAAGAGCAACCCTCTTATCAGGTGATTTGTATTTCAATTACCTTACTAAGGAAAGACCTTACTTTTAGCCCTCATTCTCAAGTAATGACAAATACTTCGAAGCTTATTTTCCCAACTCTACACTGAGGACAAGGCCCTTTGGATTAACTTCTCTCTATGTGGGCAAACATCTATCTTTTAGGGTGACTAGCACAGAAATGTAGTACATAATGGCAGTATATGACAAGGATTAAGTATATTGTCAAAATAAACACACTTTAAGGTCTTTCCCATGTTTCATGTGTTAATTAATGCAGTATGTTTGATTTAAAATTGTGATAATTACCTGCACTTCACTCTCACCTCTAATATGAGGAGTTCTACAAGTTCTATCTCCTGTAGACTCTACCATAAAGGTGGACTTATTTATTGTTGTAAGTTTTAGTGTCAGTGCTGCCAAAATGAGCACAAGATGGGCTGATTTAGAAGGAGGATATTCTACAGATAACAAGCAGAGGCCTTGGCATAGTAAGAAGTCCTGTTAGTTTAATCACAGGTGTTTCACTTTGGACAAATTAATAATTAGCCAAGCCTCAGCTTCATTAGCCACAATGAGGTTAAAAAGACATACCCAAAACACACTGCTTGTAGGGGGTAAATAAATGCTGTGTTCTCTTTTTCTTCCTGTGCCATTGTCTATCACTGCCCTGTACCTTTCCCATTGTCGAGCTATGTGCCAGAGCTTTCAACTAGTGACTCCACTCCAATAATTAATTCAAAAAACTGACAGCATCTTTTTCTTCTAGATTTCACTGTGTTATTTCTCTGCTCAATACTTACAATGATTCTTTTATCTAATACTTAACTAGGAGTAAATATGGTATTCAGTATGTTCTGTGTTGTCACTCCAGCCTATGCTGATACAGTCTTTCTTTTTATCAGTGTTCATCACAAACCCACTGGTTCTCAAACCCAGCTGCACAGCAGAACCACCTTGAAGTTTTATGTCCATGTCCCAACACCTAAAAGTTCTACCCTTAACTGTTCTCAGCTGGGATCCGACTGTTCATTGTTTTAAGCTCTCTAAATGATGAACACAGCTCTACTCAGTTTGTCTGTCTTCCTGTGTCTATTTACACTTGCCAACATAGACACAGTGAGAAAAGCTCCCTCCTTCCTCAGCATATGTACAGTTCAACATGACTCCTTTTGCCACACATTGAATCATCTATGTACAGGTTCTCATCCACCTAAACTATGTGCATAAGCATCTGACAGAGAATTGAGTTTTTCCTATGAGCCTATCTTCATTACAGACCTCTTACTAATAGCCATTTGAAGACTGTATTAGTTTTACATAAAGGGAAATTAAGGAAGGGAAGTAACTTGTCTTGCGTTACTTTGAAAACTACATATTTTTTTGTTTATGTTCCATACTTCCTTACCATGTTATCTAGGCCAGAAATACACAGAGTAAATGTATGGATTTTTATTTCATATTTAAATATCTGAAAGCAGAATTGAGTTCAAGTCAACATTCTTAAAGACTGGGGCAATTCTCTTTCTGAAGACAACCCTATCTTCTTACCATGGCTTAGTTTTGATTCTTAAACTGTACTTTAAACTACCCATAGTGAAATAACAGTCTTGAACAGTACCTCAAGAATCAGAAAAGAATGAATTTGCATATACCAGAAATAAGGCTTATATAAGTGATGAACAGATTCTGTAACTGAGGTAAGACTCAAAATGGTAAGAGCCTATGTACCAAGGGGAGGCAGGAGGGCAGGAGATATGGGTTCTGTTGTATGGTAACGAGAAGGGGGGGGGGGAGAGAGGAGAATGTACAGGAAATTGCACCAGGATAACTTAGTAATGAACAAAAGACTAAAAGTTATGACCACAGCAAGCAGTAGGAAGTAGCAGTGATTGATAGAGGCCAGATGGGAAGAGATACTTAAACCACAGTTCCTTCTCTAGTTATCTGAAATTACAGCAGATACCTCAGAGACCAGGAATCTTTGGGAGGAGGAGAAATCAAAGAAACTGCACAGTACCCATGAGAGACCGGCACTTTAGCTAGCAGAATCACATGCTTTTAGACTAAATCAGAATGGCGAGTCCTTAGGATGTGCTTGTACAGAGCACTGAACAAGACAGCACTTGTGGGGTTCAGTATCCATGCAGTTTGCAAGGCTGGGCTCTTATTCTAACTTCCCCACTAAGGGAGTTACACTGAACACATTACCTAGTGGAGGGAGTCAGGCTCTTCATTTCCAAACAGTACAGTGGAAAGGTGTATTGTGTTCTCTAAATTCTGGGATTCTATAATTTTTACTCAAATTTTTCTTAACACTGTATTTTTCCTATGAAATAGCTATACAAATTTCTAAAATTTGAGGAAAATGCAAGTTAAAAGTTAAGAATCATATAAATGAAAAGCAGTAACATTTTCTCAAATGTAATATACTCTGTTGTTTGGTAACCATTCTATCGAACACCAAATTGGGGGAAAACATAAATTTGCCTACAAACAGGAACTATGAAGCTTCATGTCCTACAATAGACATTTCAGTAAAAGGTTTATTGCAATTATTCCATAAAAGTTAAATGACTACAGAAATGAGTTCAGACTGTCCAGTAATAAATTGAAGGGGATTTAATTCATTACTTTGCATCAGCTCTGCTTAAGGGAATGGCCTGGCTAATGCACTTCATTTGATGTTCATAACAACATAAGAAGCTACTGAAACAAAATAAATGAAACCAGAAATGGAAATGTAGTTGGAAAGGTAAGTAGATAGAAAGCATTAGAAAACAAAATCTGCCCAGCATATTATAGTATATATTAAAAGTAATACAGAGCTGTTGCTGCTATTGATGCATAACATACTGTCATTATTGGTCTGAATTTTTAGAAACTTTAGCTGTGCTGTCAACTTTGGAAAAAAGTATC